TTTTACTTCATGCATTTATTTAATATTTTACACAAAGATATGGCAGTAGAAATTTCAGGTCACACTGATGCATGACAATTAGCAGTAATTAGTTGTTTTCCATGATTCTGATTGTAGTTGAGTGTCTCATTAGGTGTAACCAGCTGAAGTGTCACTTCTACAGCTCTTCTCTCAGTTAAAGTGTGTATCTCCTGCCAGCCTGTCAGACGGCCGCCCTTCTCCACGTTCTGTCATGGGACAGGTAAATAATTCAAAACGTCAGGCCGTATCAGATGTGGAATCCTTGCGCTCTCTCTCTCTCTCTTTTACTCACCCTTTCTCGCCCTATAATAGGCATTAACAGACCTGAAAAAACCCATTACAGACATAAAGAGAGTGTCGTAACTAGTGTGAAAACTTTCACTATCACAGGTACGTGAAGCAATATCTTCAGTGTTTTTCTGTAAATGTTTTGATGATGCTCTCTGATAATGCTGCTCATGAAGTTGATTTTACATGTTCGTTGTAGTTTTGTGTAGCATTAAGTGTATTTTCCAACAGAAACAGAATGTCTGGTGCGAACAGTGACCTTCTACATAGATCAACCTTGAGTGTTTATAATGTGAGTCTTCTGATACTCTCGTTTAAGCTGAGATCAAACGAGAACGCTCATTAAGTATTGATGCAATTACATGGCTCTCTGGAATACTTGATTCTGATTGGTCAATCGTGACATTCTGCAGGCAAATGTTTTTACATAAAAAAAGCACTAAACTGTATAATTGTTTGTTGTCCCAGGCAACTGATTTTTTAAAGATATCTGAACTAGTGGTGTCTTTCTTTCACTCTGCAGTCTCTCTGCATGCAGTAAAATTGTTTTGAGCAAAATAAAAACAAAAAACGCACTCAAATTTTAATTGCCCTTGTCCGGTAATAAATTTATTTGGCAAATCGTTGTGTAAGGAACATGTACAGACAGCCAATGATTATTTCAAAATAAACCCCTTTATTTGTTATCTTGAAGCATATATTTATGATGCTCCGGCATTATTATTGATAGTATAATGGTGTTGTTTTTTTGTTATTCAGAACCTCATGGATCAGTTTAATCCTGGCTTGCAAAAGCTGGTTACTTTAGGAAACAGCTACATCAAGGCTTTTGAAGGTGAGCATAATGTCTGTGTCTGTTTTCAAACACAAAGACTCCTAAAAGTGTATTGACCTTTTTGAATTGTTTGTATTGAAGTTTGTTTTCTTTCTGTTTTGTTCTTTGTTTTGTTAAACTTTTTGTTTTGATAAAACTT